CAGAGGGACACTCTGTTCCTTGCACATGTACTGTACTCAGCATGCTTCCCTTTCCTCACCCCATAACATCTCCTCACCCACTCTGAGAGACTGCTAAGAATCATTGCACAGACAAGAGAAGGCATATGAGTGCACTTTATGGTACTTGTTTTATAAAATTACTCCCAAAAACCCCTTCCATTAGGAAAACAGCACTGCCAAGTCAAGCATCCAGAGCAAAAAAGAAACCACAATTAAATTTTTCTGTGCAAGTCTCATTTGCTGTCTCCTCACTCTGTGCTGTCAGGGCTGGCAAACACAACCTTCAGCAAGCTGACCAACATCTTCCTCAAGCCAGCCCAGGGCAGGGCTCTTGTGATTTTCGCAATGAGACTGGCTAGGCTGACATTTTACAGAAAAAAGGGACATATCTACATACAGAAGCTGATTATGCATGGCTTGCCAACAAATGAATGAAACAGCAATCAAAACAAACAAACAAAAAAAGAGTTTAAGAGATTCCCAAGTGATGACAAGGCGTTTTCTCACAGACAGTGCATGGCTGTGCCTCAGTTGCTCTCTGAGACACAGGCACATCCCTTCAGAACTTTCCTACTCCTCTCTCCCAAGGGGGGGGGGCACAAGGATGTAAGTCTGAAATATTCCATCAGTTGAGAATGTCAGGAGCTAAACCTTGCAGTCTTCTCCCAAGCTCTGTTATGTTGTTCCCTTTTTGGAGCTAAAGTGTATCACAAAAAACAAAACATGACTCTTGTTTACTGCTGGATTAGAACTACTTATACACCTGATGTGTCTTTAAGGACTGCTATCTCTGTTGGGTTTTTTTCTTCTTGACACAGCTTTAATTATTTCAGTCTTCTTAAGTGGGCCATGGATATAAAATATCTGCCCTCTTGGTCATGTTCCTTGCCACTTTCTCAGTTCAGTGGGATGGCACAGAAGTTTGGAGAGAAATGATGCCAAACACATTAACCACGATTCACAAAACCTTGCCAGAGGCTCACTTACCACATCCAACCAGGAAGTCTGACAAAGGAAAACCCAGAGGTGTTTCACCTTTCCCCAGAGTTCGCAGAAAATCTGCCCTAGCTGCACAGGGGGCACACACTACATCCCAGAGATCCCTACAGAGGTGTGCAGTGACGGACACCCCACTGCAAAGGGGTCACTCCTCCTCCCAGATCCAGCAAGGCAGTGCATGAAGCACAGCTCAGACCAGAAACCACAGAGAACACACATCTTTCCATGGAAGCAATCCAACATGAAGCAGAGATAAGCACTTCCTATCAGTTCTCTTTAGATCCCCAGCTGCTCACACTTTTGAGCAGGCCCTGCTGTTTGCAGGGCCCAGCTGTACATCACATGTGCACAGCTCCAAACTTCACTTCAGCTTGTATTGAAAACCAGCTCCATTTCCACAGCAGCCTCAGAATGCAGATGAGTTGTGCATTTTGTGCTGAACAAAAACGTTACAGCTCAGCACAGCTCTTGAAGCACCGATATGGTTCAAAAATCCTCAGATCTCCTCTCTTTGGCATTATCTTTAAAATCAGGTAATTAAACCACAAAAGTATGTTGTTCAGACAGCAATACGAGGTCCACAAAAAGAATTTCCAAGTCTAGATAGAAGGACTGTTCAGGATCCAAGGAATTATAGGACTGACCTGAAGGCACTCACACAATCCTTCACATGAACTAAGCCAACACCCCTTATAGGTGCTCAATTGTGGTCAACATTCCAACTTTTATCTATTATCTTTTGTGCCTGATAAAGCAGATTAACCACTTAGGCAAAGCTTCAAATCCTCATTTCTTTGCCTAAAAAGTGGCTCCTCCTCCCTTACTTTTTTAAAAATAAAATATTTACAGCACTAGGGAAAAATCAAACAGTTGAACAATTGGTTAATTGGTTAGTTCTCAATAGCAGCATTTCTGTTCACAAACCAATTCAGCTAAAAAATTTCATTAAATATCAGATTTATTCCTGGCCACTGAATCAGTTTTTATCACAATACATTGTAAAAGCAAACAAAGGAACTTGGCCATTCCAATTCATACAAACAATTTGACAGAAACAAAGAGGGAAAAATTTACTATAATGATGCCACTTCTCACAAAACTATAAATTTCATCCATGTGTGTGTTAGGAAATGGTGTGTGTGTTGATAATTGAATTTACACAACAAATATCCTAGAAAATCCAACCAAATTCAAGAATCATCTGTACCAATGATACAAATAAAACTCCAATAATCATCAAGTGGAAGACAAAAACAAAATATAAAGGAAATAAACTTTATTTAGTGTTACCTTGAAAATCATTCATCCAACAAATAAGAAAAATGCACCACAAAGCATGAAATCATAACCTTTTCCACCAAAGAAAATGTTTCATTCCCCTTTGGCTGAAACGAAAAGATTTCAGAACACTGCAAAACAGCTTCAAGACACTTTAGACAGTTGTGCTTTTGACTGATGAACAGGGCTAAAACAAAAGGGAAACATGATCAAGTTCAATCTCAACTTTGTCCCTGAGTTTGAGTTTGCTGCTTTAGCAATAAAGCAATTAACAGCTCTGACATTAAGGATCCCACTGATAAATAAGAAACCAGCAGAGTTCCATAGGTCTCTACTTTCTGTCCCTCCTTGCACTTTCCTGCCACATAAAACATTAAAAATAAAACATCCAGTATCACAAACACCAGTCAACCATCACTGAGCTGCCTGCTGATGATGTTTAAATGAGGAATGTATCCTTAATTTGCTAATGAACAGTCATTAAGTCACCTTAAATGTCTTCCTGATTCATAGAAAATAGCATTTGAGATGTGATTTTTGCCAATATGAAATAAGAAAAATCATATTTCCAATATGACATAACACAAAGTGGTATAAAAATGTAACTTGTCTTTAAATTAGTTCATATTATATTAAATAATTCATTTATATTAAATAATATTTATGAGACTACACAGGTCACATCACTGAAGAAGAACTCCTCACATTACCCTACTTATGAGACTACAAGCAGAAGTAACATCAGTGTACAGCTGGGGCTGGAAGAGCAGACAAGGCAGAATGACTTTAGGCTTCAATTGGTAGGAGAAGTTCTTCCATCCCCAAAGCACTTTAGGTGCAGGGCTGTACAAAATTTCTCATTCCAAGGAGTTCTAAAAATTCACTGTACAGATTGAGATATTACCACAGCAGGATCCCAAAGGCATACAGAAAAAGACCTTGAAATACAGTCCATAGCTTCAATTGTCTTGATTTTTTTACTACCAACAAGTAAAGGAGAAGCAACTGTTGTAAGCATTGACCATTCACAATAAAGAAGTTTCAACTCTCTGCAATATTTGAAATTGTACTCCATAACTACACACAAGACAGAAAAGAGGAAAAAATGGTGTAGGACCATTCAGAAGAGAAAAATGTAAAAGGCAGAGAACTACTGAATTCAATTAAGAGGACAGAATAATGTAGTTTGTTTCATTTTCACAGATTTCAAAACAGTCTAAGAAGAATCAGCAAGACTGCATCTACTCCTTCCAGGCAATGGAGACAAATGCCCTTGGCTGTGCAAGGCCACTACCTTCCCTTTACATTCACATTTTGGCTCCTCTGTGATCATTTTTCAATCACCAAATTCTCATTGAAAGCATCTTCGGCAATGCTTTCCAAATGGGAATCACCAGAGTTTAGAAAATATTTGTAACTACAAGCTGACACTAGAAAGATTTCAGCCTGGGCACTGAGGTCCCCAGAATGAACTCCACAATGCCATTGCAGTGAGGGTTTTTTCTAAGCAGTCTGAGGATCTGCAGAGCTGCTACATAATTAAACTAAAAGCTTTCAACTGCACATGTCTGAGCATGTGCACATTTTTCATACCTTGACATTTTTTGGTCCATCCAAAAACTGCAAAGGGAACATTGATGATTATATACCTGCCACTTGTACATTCTGAAACTGCCCAGTTCAGATCTTAGACCAGCAATACAATATGCCATCAGTACACCTAAACCAGCAGCCTTACGTGGAATTTTAGAACTTCTGAATGTCAAATTTTCATCAATTAAAAACAAACAATACAGAGGTTGAGATTGAACACACAAAGAAACAAGATATAATGAAAACATTGGAACAAAAGGAAGTATTTACTATCCAATGAAGTCATCTTTGATATGCATAATTCCTTGTAAAAAATCTTATTAAATATATTTAACATTCAGTTGTACAGACAAAAATAATTTTTATTGAGATAAATTTGCTCATGTTGGTGTTTAAAATCTCAGACAAACCCAAAAAACAATGGAATGAAAGTAAGAAGTTTTATGAGTAACCTTATGAACTGCACCATCAGTGATTGTACTCAACACCTTCTGCAGACAATGCCCAAAACCTCTTCCAGCTAAGGCTTCAGGGTATTTCTGACAAGTTAATCAATGCCCTCAGACATGAAGGATCTGCTGAATGAAATAATCTCACAGAGCCAGCAGGGACACACGCTGTGTGTTCCATTAATTTACTTGTAAACGTCAGGATCTTCTGTTCCCCACTTTGCACTTCAAACAGTGACAGCTCAATCCCCCTGCACCACACTGTGTTCTGCTCCACAACACTCACACTGGTGCTGTTTTATGGCATTCATTGTTGTGGTTGGTTTGGGGTTTTTTCCCCTAAACAACTTGTCCCCAGTTAAGCAGTACCCATGCCAAATCAGAGCCCTCTAAACCACATCAGGCCTTCCCACACTGCCCAGAGGCAGGATGGGGAGCTCTCTGCACACAGTCTGTCAACCAGGTTGTGTCAGGGGGTCAGCTGAGATCTTCAGAGGCTGTTTGAAGAAAAGCTTAGACAAGAATGATGCACAAAGAGAAAATGATTCACCTCTCTTTTGCTGTACTGACCAGTTCAGAATACAAAATAATATTCATATGGCAGCTGTCAACATTGCCACTCCCTTATCAATGCTTCCAAATACATGTGGAAACCTGATCTTATGGTAAAAACCACAGCCCTTTACTGCAAGCACATACAAGAAGTGTTCTGCACAGGAGCAGGTCATGTTCCTTTCTTCAGATAGCGGGAGAGGAACTGGCTCCTGACAAAGTGGACGAGCTTGGTCTCTGTGCAGAACATGGTGACCAGGGTGGCTGCAAGGCACAGGGCACCCGTGCTGATGTGGATCAGCCTGGCCATCCAGCCCTTGTCACAGCAGAACCACACCTACAACAGAGAAAAGAAGGCATGGCAGGAAAACCAGTCAGCACAAAGTGCATTTACTGTCACAACAAGAAATAAGGTCCAACACCTCTGTCCAACACGCCAACGTCACCACCAAGCCAAGCGCGGTTGCGCAGGTGCACTGACCCTACAATAAATCACCTTCAGGAGTCACAACATTTGCTTTCTTAAATTAAGTAAGTTCAGCAAAAAATATCAGTAGATATCTGCTAAATGAGGAAGCTGCTGTTATCTGGCATGCAAAATGTGTTAACTGCAATGACATAAAACCCTGCTGGTGCTATCAGGCAAGTCTGCTACTGTACAGCAACATATCAGGCTATTTTCTAACAAAACTGGAAATCTCCCACTCCAAAACATAAAATTCTTTCTCAGGCATAATGGATTTTCAAGCTGTCAAATTTTTGTACATTGAAAAGCTCTAATCCGCTTAATAATCAGCCTGTACAATTACCATCTTGTACTGAATAAATGTGCTAAACATGCTCTTAGCAATTTTTGGTTTTCCTCTAGTTTCAGTTATTATTTGTTTTTATTACAGAATTTTTAATGCCAATTTCTTGGTGCCACTGCAAAATTTCCATTATTAACAAGTAAGAACATGGGTTAACTACACACAGCAGAAATGTGTTAAATTTTATTTTACTTTTGAGATCCACATTGTACAAGTGGCAGAGAACATTAATACAAAGAATCTCTTAACAACATATCCTGCCTTTCTGTAACGCAAATCTCCCAGCCTCCCCTCAAAAGCCTCTTTCCCTGATGGCATTTTTGTGGACACAAAAGGCACCTGGTCAGTGGGAGCAGGCAGGAAGGAGCTCACCTCTGAGCCAGCAGTGAGCCCAGCACTGAGGGTGTAAGCCAGCAGCAGAGCTGGGGAGGGCAGCAGGCCTGCCAGGGGTCTGTGGCTGCTCTCTCTGAAGTAGTGATGGATGTAGTGGGTGCTGTGAGCTATCCTGATGCCCATGTTGAAGCAGTTGGCAAGGATAAAGCCCACACTGCCATACCAGTGGGTCAGGAAATAAGAGATGCACAGAAATATGAAAGACAAGGCCAGCATAACAAAATTGTACCTAGAAAAAAAAAAAAAAAAAAAAAAAGAAGAAATAATTTGACAGTGCAAGCAGTTCCAGCATTCATTTACTAATGATCTTTTATTTTCTAACATCAGTAACAGAATTTCTCTTACCATCTTCTCAAATTTATTTTCACTAGAAATGAGAGGATAAAAAAATAATTTGAAAGAATAGAAAATACATCAACCAAAATAAACCAAGAACTACATTATGTGAATGAAATTCTATTACACTAATCAGTTGTGCACTCATTGCAGAAAATCAAATTTAATAACAATTATTAGTAATGTAAAAACTTGTGCATTTTTCGCTATTTTATGTTAGGAATATATTAAAGAAAATGAATGCTCAAGAACAAATCAACACTTTATTTCATTTCTGTTATAAACAGTGACTTGAAAAATGAGTGCACATTTTAAACGGGTGGTGAAAGCAGTCCTTACTGAGTCAAAAAAGCTCCCATTTTGATTGTGGAAAATAAACTAATTTGAAAGGGCCACATTAGGGACAGCCTAAACACAGAGCCAGGAAATAATCCAGGCTGGAAGGGCTCTCAGAGGTCACCTAACCCAACCTCCTACAAAGCAGTAAATCCCTGGATTCACACCCACAGCTTGGGTCACTCCTAAGTGTATGTCCAGTACCTGTACATGAAAAATGTTAATAGTTGCAAACTTTTAATGAGTCAAGTGTTTGTCTTAAGAAGTATAACTTCGAGCTCATCTGTGCAGAAAACACACATTTAAATTCTTTTACCAGTTAGTGATGTGCCTAAAGCTAAATTAACAATCTTTATTTCTTAGTTTCTGACCTTTTTTATCAAACTTTTCAACTTTTGCTAAACCTACACCTAAATCTAAATGGACACAGCCTAGCAAGGAGTTGCTTTTCTATGGGGCAGGATATTATTTTGTGCAAAAGCACCATTTCCTTTTTGAGGGCAGCACAAATAAATTCACAGGAACATTTTGGAGACACTGTTTCCTACCTGTCCACTTCCTCTTTGCACATTAAGGCAAATGTAAAACATTCTGTTACCCCATTGACAGCAAGAAACAGGACATACAACGAGTAACACCGCAGGAGATCTGGACCTAAAAAACTCATTAGAAAGAGAAATAGTCAATGATTTCTTTTACCAAAGCACTTTGTTTTTACAGACAGTGATACTAAGAGATAGAATTTGTAATGTTAATACTAATAATGGAAACTTAAGTTCATTTGAGCAAGTTTCCTGTCTAGATATCTTGACAAGAACACAAATAAGCAAGGCAAAGGATTCTGATGAGCTAAATCACAGATTTCAATAGCAGTTTCACAGGAAAAAACCTAAACTGCTGATTTATAAAAGATTCATAATAGCTGTAGGGTTTTTTTTCCTAAAGAGTGGTGATTTTTTGCCAGGTCTATAAATCTTTACCTGTTCCAGAACTGAGCATTGAGCCTCCATAAATATCCAGAGCCAGCTGAGAATAGGCATAGCCAAAAACAGTGATGGTGAGGCCAATCAGGAGCACAAGTTTCAGCAGCAATTCCAATACATTTGCAGCCATAGCAACATCATCCTGAAAAAAACCACAGCAAATCACATGAACCAAAATCAATGTAATAATCACCACTCTTGTGCAGAAATGCTCCTTAAGAGAAACAAATCAGTTTGCATCATGTAAAAAGGTGTGAAACCTATCCTTTGTTATTGAACTATCCACACACATGCTCTTAACTTGGTAATCCTTTTTACAGATTTATTATTCCACCATGTTCTCAGTTCTACACATCAGGTAGGTTTGATACCAAATATACACACAGACACCTCCCTTAGCCCCCCATGAACCTGAAGCACAGGATTTCATTGTGTGCTGATGTGCAATTAGCAGGACTGCTACAGGCTGACCCTCATGAGTGATCAAGAATATTACTCTGTGAAACAAAGCTCTTACTCATTAATCCTCCTCATATAACTCAAACACACAAGAAAAATCCAATTCTTTTTTTCCCAAAGCTGCACTCTTCAGAAACATTATTTAACAGCTATTGATATGTTTAAGTAAATAAAGTACTTCCAGATAGTATTTATTTCATAGATTTCATGATTTAAATAATGGCTTGCTATATTTGGAAATACACAGCAGAGCAGGCTTTCCATCACACTGTTTGGAGCAGCTGAGGTTAACTTTATTGATGCAAGGCAGCACTATGCTACTGCAGATTTTCATTTCTATTTCATTAGCTTTTAACCTATTCACTTTTCTTTTTGGTCCAGTTTGACTCAACATTTCCATTCTACACCTTTCAATTTTAAGAGCCTCAACAATCAAATTTAAACACACATTTCTGTCACACTTCTGTGATGCAATTTATCTGTAACAAAAATCAAGCACTTGACATGTAACCAATCCAAATAAACATACCTGCTTCTGATCCTTTACAGTCTTCCCTCTTTCCAACACTTTAGCAAAAAATACATAAAAGCTTTCCTCAATTGGCAAAAAGATAAACCTGGCCACCAGTGAACCAAGGTTATTCACAATATCATAGACACCTTAAAAAAAAAGAAAAAAGCAATCTCAGAGTTTTAGACATATTTTAAGTCTGTAATAACAACATGAATTCTAATTTAACATCTCCAAAAAAAAGAGAAAACAAGTGGTACTTTGTGCAACATGGAAACAGTATTCTCTAAAAATTCTGACAGTCAAGCAGCTACAGCTTAAAATTGCTTAAGGTTTGCTCATGGCAAAGGTAGAATAAAAGCAGCAACTAGACAGAAGTGAATCTAGAACAGCACCAAACCACACTTCAAATTCTTGCTACAGGGGAATTTAGAGGACCCTGATAAAGTTCACTGATTAAGAACAGGAATGTAGGGATTTACTGATACAGGAGAAGAGAAAGATAAACATCTAGTGAACATCCATGGCAGTGGGCTGGAATTAGATAATCTTGAAGGTTGTTTTCAACCCAGGCTATACTATAATTCTATTATCTTACAGTTTATATTAATTATTCCCTGGAATGCAGCTTAAAGGCTTTGAAACATTCTCAGATTTTCAAGCTATCTTCAAACACTTGAAGTCATTTTCAGAACCATGAAAAGCAGTGACTAAGAAAATTCTGTCACCATTCCAAATACCATCACACTTACCCTGATCCCCGAAATTTAACACATTCAAAAAAGTCATCACATATCGTTCACCTGTAAGTTCAAAATAAAGAACTTCAGAACAAGCCCTTAAATCTTGCCCAATACTTGCTCAGGCACTTCCAATATCAAGTATTCAAGAGACAAAGTCAAATGGGACAGCACCTAGTTCCGAAAACCTTCAAAAAAGTCTATTCAGGTTGGCATTCATGTGCCTCATCTCCCCCCACCCAAGCTTTCTGAAACTTTAAGTCAATTTTGCAAATAGTTTTCATGAGCCCTCTTCCCTCACACTCCTATGCCAAGCCTCACCCTCTGTCAAAATCTGTTTCAAGAAGGATTGTTTGAAGAAACTCCAAGTCAGGCGTGCTTCCCTCCAGTTCACAAAGGTCTGCAAAAAGGAAAACTGAAATGTAACAAAGGTGATTGACATTACAGAGTGGAAATAGAAAACAGCAAGGCACTGCAACACTGCAGGGTAGCTCTAACTGCAGTGGTGAGGAAACCACAATGCCACAGTTATTAACCACTAATGTGAAGTATTGCTGAATTCAAGCACCAACATCACTATCTGGCAAAAACTGATCCCCTTGTTGAAAAGTGCTGCTGCTGCAGACAAAGTACCCATAAGAGCATTCTACAGAAAATACCAATCAAGGTTAGAGTTAGGAAAAAAATATCCAGGGTGTTTAAGATGCCAATATAACTTCCACCCTCACTGGAGATATGAATTATTTACTGTTCTTCAAACTGTCCTTATAAGACTTGCAACCAAGAACCACCTTTATATTTCCAACCTGTAAATCTTATCTAGAATGTTGCCTTCCCCAATGAGTCTTTTAATTTCTTTCTTGGCTTCATTTTTGTTTGACTGATATTTGAGTATCTCTAGGATGCTGTGGAACACCATGGTTATTTTGTGCAGAGATCAAAGTACCAAAGAATCCACTGTTATATGGTCCTGGTTTGTTTTCTGCCTCAGATCCAGTGATAGTGATGATCCAGTGATCATTCCCCTGCACAGAGCAGAGGGTCTATCTCCAGTTAATATCTACTATTATTTTGCACAAATCATGTCAGCAACAACAAACCCATAACCACAGAGCTCAAGTTTAATGATTTTTTCTGACAAGAATTTTACTAATACAAACTTCAATCAGAATTTCTATGCAATATTTTTTAGTTAATCTATCATACCTTCTATAGTGCATAAATAACCCCAAAACCACTCAATTAACTCCCCAGTCTAAAAGCAACATTTAAAGTGCCCTCATGTGAGATTTTAAGAAGAAAATCAAGAAATAAATTGCACAACTCACCTCATCTTCCACAAAGCTAGGTAATAGAGCTTTCACTCTAGAAACTGGAAATGACTTCTTTGTGGCTTCAGGAGATCCCAGAAACATCACAAAATAAATTACATAGCACATTACCAGAACACTGACATATAAAAGCTGGGAAGATCAGGAAGGAGAGAAAAAAAACAGTGAAACAAAATTAACTTAGAAATGCAGAATTATATACTAGGTGAAAATACAGCGAGAAGAAAATGTAACTAGTTTTTATGCTACCAAATATTAAACTAGGTAAGGATTTGAACAGTTTTAAAGAATGGTGTTGATCTTTTTAGTTTTTTTTAACCTGTAGGTTACCATAGATCTTTGCTAATTTTCATGCTTTATTCATCATTTATAGAATGTTGAAGGTCCAATTATAAAGCAATTACTCAATCAAAAATCAAGCTGACAGAGCAGCTACTGCCTACACCTCTTATTTCATAGAACATTTCCAATTTCCATCAATTACAAGTGATCTACAACAGCCGGGGCAAGAACTGAAGGAAAAAAATTATCCCTCCTTCATTGTCATCAAGAAAAAGTTTTAACCTGAATTAACTGCACTTGATTAGCACTTTCTGGTAAGGTAATGCAGGTTGGTGGTACAGGCTGATAAAGTTCTGTGTGATTAGAATAACACCACCTTATTTGCAAGATGTGCCTTCACAGAGGGAAGGTGCTTCCTTCTACCTCCCTTTAACTCAATGTCAAAGCACCGAGTCAATAATGAGTGTCAGGAAAATACCAAATATAAATTCTAAATCTTAAATCTCCCAGGAGCTTTTTCTCTCAGCTCCCCAAAGTTCTTCAGCAGGCTAAATGTCAAAGGAAAATTAAAATTCAGCTGAGAGAGAACAAAGGGAACTTACCTGAGCCAAGGAAAAAATGTAAAGGCCCCATTGAGGATAAAGGATTACTAAAGTAACTGTCAAAATGCATTTTGACACTACTGAAAGGCTTTCAGCAATTACCTTTAGGAAACACAAAACAGAGAAGGGTTATTTTCTGGCAACCTAACCACATACACAAACTTAAAAAAAAATATATATATATGCTTAATGCACAGAATTGATGTAGGAATGTAAGATGTTCAAAGTCAGTGTGACTTTATGGCAGCTTCTTTCTGCTGAGCTGGCCAGCTTAGATTGTCATTGCTCTGTAAGTTTTCTATTCTAGCATTTCACAGTTCCTCCATTGTATTTTCCCAGTCCTTTGAATGGGACATAAGGGAGAAAATTTTGCTTGAGACTCTCATAGTCTCAATATTTCATGTAGAACTGTGGAAGCAGTGTGTCTCTCCCTCCAATCAAAACCTGTGTTTCAGGATTTAAGGATCTTGAAGGTAATAATGTCTAAATAAACCAACTTGCTTGCTTTAATGGGTACAAATTGCTGGCTATGTTACAAACCAGGCCATGCAGTGCTAAACAGTACTTACAGGGATTTTTAGATGCTTGAATATACAAAGATCTAAGTCAGTAATTTCAACAAAGATCCCCCCACATGCACACACCTCACAGACTTTACTAACCTTAAGTCTCACAAACAAATGAGCTTGTGCTAAAACCCAGAGTGGCTCTCCCAGGAGTTCAATAATGGCAGAAAGACCAAATGCCAATACACCAGCCTGATAGTGAGGAACCACAGAAGGGTCGGGTACTTCAAGCAAGTGTAGCCAGACTAAGCCCAAGATAAGAGACCAAAAGACACCAAGAGGGACTCTAAAAAGTTAACATAAAAACTAATTAATGGAAATGTAACTTCAGCAGAAACAAAAAAAAAAACAAAAACAAAGGAACAAACAAACAAACCAAAAACCAAAAGAAAAAACAAAAACAAAACAAAAAACTAAATAAAAACAAAACAAAACAAGGGAGAAAAAAAGAAAATTAGATTACAATATCACACATGGCCACAATGATTATACAAAAAAGACCCTGAGGAATTAACTCCTGTTGTTACTATACCAAGAATGAATATTTTCCTTTGTAATGAACACCCTTAAGGCACTCTGCAAGACAGAGAAAACATTTTTCTCAGTTGTCCATTTTCTACTCCAGACCCATAAGGTCAAATATCTACATTTTTGTGCCTTAGGACCAAACAATTCTGATCCCACATCAGCCTGCACATCCTGTTCTGCTGACACTGCTTCAGAAACACAGAGCTTCTAGCAGAGTCCATCAAGTTTGACATCACTGGAGCAAGATCTCTTTGACCCTCACACTGTCAGACCCCTAAGATATTTGACATCAAGCTCCTAAGACATATTCAGATGCTCCACTGAAGGTAACCTTCATTTGAAGTTATGCTTCTCTACAAGGAAAAGTTTAAAACAAAAAAGATGCACAAAAAAGTCAATGTCCTCTCTGTCATTTAATGCTCACTTGAAAGGCCACCACACAGCAGAAAGCTGACTACATTACAGTTAGAGAACAGAAATAACACATTTTAAATATTAGTATTAGACCCCTCCCTGGCAGAGGCAATCCCTCTGCTTTGTGCCTGGATGCAGATGAGCACACATAACCCCTCATTCTCCTGGGCCAGATGAGTTAACAGCTGCGCAGTTCCAGGGAAAGCCTGGTGCCCCAATGGGAAAATCCTATTTTATCATGCAGAGATAGTGTTCAACCATATCAGCCAGGTAAATTTACTTCACAGCCCAACCCAGTTGGAGCTACACAGCAGCTAGAGCTGACAGAGGGAGACAGGAGGGAGAAACAAGCCATAAAATCCACTTTATCCTAATCACACAGCAAAGTGTGATTGCTTGTTGTAGCACCCTGTGGACTTTAGGCTGTTCTGCTATAAACAGCACCACAGCTGAAAGTGCCAACCCATTCCTCCTCCTTGTTGCTTCATTCCAACTCTTTCTTCAAACTTTTTGGATCTCTACCACCCAAACATTTATGTTGCAAGTTCACATCGGGTAATAAAATCACAAAACTGAGCAGGAAGAGGGAGAAAAAAAACAAAGGGCTACATATTTGTGCAACAGGGTTTTCCTTCAACAGCTCTGGCCGAAATGAAACTCAAGCAACAGAAGAAATGACAGTTCTGACAATAAAGTTCCTCACATGCTCCAACAAGAAATCAAGTCCAAAAATGCTAAAGCACCAGACTTGAGCAGCTTCCTACATCAGTCCTAGATCAGAAACATAACTGAGGCTTCTGAAATAATTACCTCAGTAAATAAACGCTTCCTCTCATTCTGTGAGCTCCCAGACAGAAACAAGACATTCTAAGGAAGTAAACTTTTAAAGGTATCTTACGTCAGCCACAAGAGATTAATTGTTTTGGTCCAGTTTCTCTTGGCACTCCCACTCAAACAAGCTCTGCGAAACGCCTCCCTGGCGAGGAAGACAACTGTGGAGTACAGCAGAGTCAGCCTAAAAAGGGGGAGAAAAGGACCAAAAAAAAAAAAAATTATTTCTTTTCTATAAATTGTAAATCCCTCATGCAGTAGCATCACAGTTTTTACACACAAATTCCGACAGGTGTGCAAACATGCTTATATGAGCTAAAATTACTATCATCTCCTAAAATCAGAGAGAAAGTAATTTTGTGTGACAGTTCAAATGGCAAGAATACACGCCACAGACCAAATGTGAAGATACAAAGTATATCCTATAGGAAAAGCACATTGTATCTAGTTTGTCCTCAACAAACAGATGGTTTAAACACAAAAACCAGGGCAGTGCTACAGGTGTTTCAGGCCAAAACAGACCTGGGGAGGCATGAAATGACCAAACGCTGTGGCACGGCCAAGAGCAGAGTGCACAGCATTAATCAAAGCCCCGTCAGTGACAGGGCACAGACCAGCACCGCCCTCCCGGGTGCCCCGATCCCCCTCACCTGACATTGACCACGCCGATGAGCTCCCGGGACAGGTAGCGGAGGGTGAAGGCGTTCAGCCCGAAGGTGAGCACCCGGAACAGCACCTGTGAAAGAA